TCCATAACACCACGATCCTCATTAATATATATATATATTTTTTTATTTTGGTGTTGGTATAATTGTATATATAAAATGTATATCATTGATAGAGTTTCCAAAGGAGTTAAACAAGGTTCCAGTTCCCCTCAACCAGGTCCTGACCCAGGGGAACTGGAATCTTGCTAACCCACTTAATGACATACTTTAAATGTATAATAATTACCTCTTTTAAAAGAGTTAATTATCATGATTATCTCGAAATAATTTTAACTTAGAGTTGATATCTCTTATAGTAAAGAATAACAGCACTAGAAATAAACGGATTCGAGTTATTAAAATGTGTGTGTAATATGTATAATGAAGATCGAGATAATGGAATTGAAGAATAGTTTTGCAACTGATTAAATAGTGTTCTTTTTAAATGTCAAAAAAGTATCTCCTTGTTCATGATTTTTTTTTCAGCAGTGATAAAGTTAATCCTTGAGATTATTGGCAGCAGAACAGCTTAAAAATTTTTCATAACTTAGCCCCTACGCTAAATAAAATTTTAGCCATTTATCATATATTAGAAAGATAATTATTAATGGGATTTAAGGTGACAAAAAAGTGTGTAGAAAATTAAGGATAGTTACAAAAAGATGGAAATTGGAACATCTAAGTAAATTAAAATTTCTTAGTACATGTATGTTTTAAATCTATTTTTTTTATCATTTACAACCAAAAAAGATCCAAGAAAAGATTTTCATCTATTCGATCAGTTTTTGTTTGTATCATCTGTCCTTAACATGATAACAAATCTGTTATTATATACTGCATGAAATGCATGAAATTGATTGATTGATTCCTCTGGAGAACTTTTCACTCATATGTAGACGTACGCCACCGCTTTCCGGTGGAGAGCTTCAAACTTTGCCCTACACTCGGCAAACAGAGTCATTGAGCAGTGAGGGATCTTTTTTGTGCCAGCACCTACTGCGACACGGGACTTCGGTTTATACGGTCTCAAACCCGCGGCTAAAGGATCATTTTCACTGAAAGATGATTGATTGATACTGTTTAACGTCCCTCTTTAGAATATTTCACTGATATGGAGATGTGAAGGGCTGCAATTTTAGGCCTAGGCTCGGCACTCACGGCCTTTGAGCAGGAAGGGATCTTTATCGTGCCACACTTGCTGTGACACGGGGCCACGGTTTAAACGGTCTCATCCGAAGGACCGCCCCGTTTAGTCACCTTTCACGACAAGCAAGGGGATACTGAGGACCTATTCTAACCCGGATCCCCACGGGGCTTCACTCAAAGAAAACCATTGTCAACTAAGGCGCAGCCAAGGTTGCTAAAGATTTCGAAGGGTGAGAATTCCAAAGTAGCATTTAACTTCATGCTGTATGCATTTTAATATTCTTAATATTCTATGAAAACATATTACAACTAAGGGTACTGTGAGCAATGAGTTCCTTAAATAATACCCCCGCCTTTCATCTGAATATAATGGCAGTATCCATGTTTTGCTCTGGAAAATTCAAAATGTATGTCAGATGAAAAAATAAAATAGGAGGTGCACAATGGCAATATGTAATAAAGATTCTGTGAAAGTTTCATTGAATTTCCTTCAGTGGTATGAGAGGAGTTGCAGATAAGAGATGGCTACCCCAAAGCGTAACAGACGGACGTACAGACGGTCGGACGAGCATACCATTTTTTTTAATATATACCCTCCCACTTTTCAAGCGGGGGTATAATGAACCACGTGCGCATGAATTCTGCACAATCAATATTTTTTAATGATATCACCGTCATCAAGCAGTGTTGATTGTTGCTATGCTTGGGGACGTGGTTTCATCAGTCAGCGGATAATAGTGATTGTGTCTCGGGAAATAGTCCTGGTCAAGGGGAATTAGAATCTTGCTAACTCACCAATTATATATTTTTTGACTATGTTATTATACCGATATAAAAGTAATTAAAAAAAATAATGGATTAAGAATGACCGGGGTCTATAACAGATAACCGGGGAATTAGCTTCCGAAGCAGGGATTAGACTATCTCACGGGGATTAGTCCATTCGCAGAGATTTCTAGGGAATTGTTCACATTTTACTGCGTATCTTTTATGGAGGAAAAAATCAGTAGACGTATTGATAAAATAAAAATAAAAAATACAAACTTGAACGATTCTTCCGTTCATAGGATTCAAGCAAACTATAAGTAATAAAAAGTATGCATAGATAGACTTTCTATAAAAAAAAAAATCTTTAAACAGCCTTGTCAAAAAGAACATTAAAAATACATCTACCGCTAAAGCCTTCAGAGGTGTTAATACATCTAATCTGGGGAGATTTGAGTTTCTTTTGAAAGCTAAACATTTTGGTTGATGATTTGAAATATATACTTCCTAAATGTACATAAGTTGAAAAACACTCATTTACCATTCAAAAATCTGTTTGTCGTTTATTTTATTATAATGCGGCTGTGGTTTTTATTTACTCTCTATATAACAAGGGATGGGGGATCCTACTCTGAGAAAGAGAGAACTTCAAGGAATAGTTTGGTTCTGGTGTGTGAATTCCCCTTGGACGTAAATTCTGCTCTAGAGTACGATTCCCTGTGGGGCAGTTGAGGGTTGGCTATGGGGGAAATGCAACTCTACAACACCAGTGTCTACTTTCTAAAATAAGTATTTTAACAATGAGGACGAGGGTGCTCGAACCCACCCTTATGGCACAGTGTACATATCTCAAGCAATCAGATGATTTTGCAAAAAGTTAATTGGTTTAAAGTATCCTATTTGCAGCAGTCGCAACTGAAATGTCCTGTAAATTTTCTTTTATAATTTAAGTAACGGTTGTGGAAAACATATTTAACTCCCTTTTTTTAAATTTCTGCTGTTAATTTAGTTCATTTGTATATTTCTTATAAAAAATAAAATTATTTGACTTTAGTGAAATGTATTCATAAACATTTTGTGCCATTAAAAATACTGCACATGTATGATCCTTCCGGATCATCGGTTTTCTGTGTAAAACAAAAAATGAATAATTGTCTTTGCTTTGAAAGATTTTTTAGTTAATGTTTTTTTTTAATAAAAGTACCTGATCAAAGATGCAATGTAATGTAAATATTTTAAAGAAGTCGTCGTACTCCGATTCTGTAATGAAGCGTATACGTAAATGCATTGGATTTGATTTTAAAGTGTCTATCGATTATATTCAAAAGCTGACCATTATCAAAAAAGATCGATATAAATTTTCTTTTCATTTTGAAATTGGTCATATTTTGGAGTGGTATTATCAGCGCCCGCTTCAGACCTTGTCTTATATTTTTTTTATAGTTGTAAGTATGTCAAATGACAATCATTTTTCTTGTTCAATACTCTAATTCTGAGACAAAAAAATTTGAATCGTATTTTAAAATCATAAATTACATGTAAAACAAGTAGCTTTAAATTTTGCAACCTATGTTGCAATCAACATATTTAAATTCCATGAATCATGGCACTGCGACAAAGAGGTCAGTGATGCCAAATTGATAAATTTAAGACAGATTCCTAAATTTCAAAATTATTTGAGAAGAAAAATAAAAAATATATTTTCATCATGCAATAACTGTTCGTAATTTCCATATTTGATTTAAAATATTAAGCATTCAAGTGCCTATGAAGACAAGGGTCTTAATCAGTGATGAGAACGGTGGTAATGAGTGAATAAAAGGCACAAAAGAAAGGATTGTATTCGTTTTGGAAAATGTCCCCGTTTAGATACATGTACAATAAAACAAGAACTGGTGTGTGAATATTAATGAGTGTGAAATAGGTCCCCGTTTGTGCTGCGAAATGTGCTTAGCTTAAAATTAAAGATATTGATATGTTCTCAATATATTTGTTATCAGGGTTACATGGTGATAAATATTTTAATTCAAAAGTCAATGAAATATTAAAAATGAAGAAGTCCCCACTTTGACAGTCTTTAACCCCTGTCCCCGTTTGACACCCTTCACACGTATGAATGTGTGTGTGTGTGTGTGTGTGTGTGTGTGAGGGTGTGTGTGAGGGTGTGTGTGTGTTTAAATGTAGTATGGTAGCAAGTGTATAATAATAGTACACCGTAATAAATCTTTCATTTTTTCGGGGGGGGGGGGGGGGGTAAGGAAAATCTATTAGAGTAAAACCAGTCATGCAGAAAAAACAAACTCTGTTGTAAAAAGATAGAACCACTTATCTACCAAACCTTTATAAACCCCGGGGTGTAAAAAAGTTTTGGACATTTAACAAAAGTGCCATTTTTCTTACTCTAGGTTTTTTGGGAAGGACATTTTTAAAAATGTTACTTTCACTTTATGATCGCTCTTTGAAATCAACATGGCCCTTTATTTGAACAAATTTGAATTCTTTTATCTAAAGATGTATTGTCGCAATTGATTAAAATTTACTCAGTGGTTTTTGAGAATAAGTCGAAAATGTAAAAAGTTTACAGATAGAGACGGACAGATATACATACGACAGGATTATTTGATGAAAACAGCTCACTTGAGCGTTCAGTTTAGGTGAACTTTAGAAAAGGGACCTCACAAATAAAGGATTTTCGAGATAAGAAGCTTTTCTGTACCCCGACCCCACCTCCAAAACCCGTCCCAAAGTTAAAACGTTTTGATACGGGCATGAATAGGTGCGAAATCATTTCTCAATTGACGAGGGATTTTCCCATTATTTCTCGATCATGACAAAAAGCACACTGCGGGTGTGACCGGTGGTCAGGGGATGCTCACTCCTCCATTGCACCTGATCCCACCTCTGAATTTTAGAGGTCCGTGTTTGCTTTGCTCCTATTTTGTATTGTTAACATTTTAACTGAAATACTGACCTCTTCTGCAAATCCCGTTTCTACAGACGTACCCAGAAGAACAAGGGAGGTTACCTCCTCCATCACATCTTCCTAATTGAATAAAAATATTATTATTAGAAACTTACATAAGTAGCTTTGTACGCCATTGTTCCAAGTCAATTGTACAAGCAACGCTTACCTGAAGGTGGCCATACACATTGACCATTTTCGCAAATGCTTCCTGGAAAATACATGCAACTCCCCTGTAAGGAAAATAGACTAATTATACTTTCATATTTAATTATAATGTTACAATGTTTGTTTCCCTTGTATCGACTCATTTTACAGGTGTATGTTTTAGACGACATTCATTCGTTTCTCGTTTGATTTTATTTAAGGAATGAATTTAATAGCTACCCATTTTATACGGTATAAACTGAGTTCGGGCAGTTTACGCTTTATAAACCGCGAAGCGGTTTATAAAAAAGCGTCAACTGTTCCAACCCAGTTTATACCATATAGAATGGGTAGCTATTAAATTCATTGCTTATAATTTAATTTTCATTCATTTGATGTAAGAAAAAAAAATGATTGTTCTTAGACTAACAAAATGACTTCAATTTGTACAAAATTTGAATGTAACGTCAGGCGGATTGATACGTTTTTGACGCAAGTCATTGCGACGTAGGCAACCCATTTTTACGATATAAAGTAAATTTTTTATCCAATCAAATACAGCGTTACAACCAGAATTATATTATTTCAATATATAAAAACTCTATTTTTACAAAACTAATATGTATGTATTAATTGATCTTTATCTAATATAATTTCTGCGCCATTGCACATGCAGTCATATAAAGAAGTAAATAACTGTTACGAAAGATATTTTAAGAAATGTGTATATTTATCTGAAAGTTTCTAAGTACGAAAATAATTCTTACCCCACATTCAAGAGTTTCTACAAATGAAAAGCCGTAATATAATTCAAGACATTCTCAAGATGATCCACACATACTAAATAGTCGGATTATCATAAGAATATAATAAAAAAAAAATAAAGATATCACTTGTCAATACCTTTATATCTAGTTTTATCAATGCAAATAGTACCAGTATGTTTTCTCAAATGATTTCGATCGAGCGAAAAAAAAAACATGTAAATAAATTTTTTATAAAATGAATGACACTGGCTTATTTCAGATCACATGTGATTTTTTTATTGGATAATCTGCAGAAGAAAAAAAAGGTATAGATAAAAACAAAGACAAAATATTCGATTTTTCATTCATTTTTTTCTTTTGTGCTAGGCTATCCTCTGATATATATGTATATATAGATGTAGTATGATAGCAAGTGTAGAATAATGAAAGTAATAAATCTTTCATTTTTTTTCCGAGTGGGGGGGGGGGGGGGTTAAGAAAAATCTATAAGAGTAATATCAGTCGTACAGAGAAAACAAACTATGTTGTTAAAGGATAGAACAACTAAAGGCCGAGATTTTTAACCGTACGGTTTTCTCAGGTAATGAGGGTGGGGACTTAATTTTACATGCGTGGTACCCGAGGCATTGACGTTCGTGCAGTCCATGGAGAACGCTAATTCCTAAACACAAAGAAGTCGGTTCACTTTATGCATAAAATGGCCCTGTAGATATACCAATTAATTGATCAACACTTGATTTTCTATTTAAAGCATTAAAATAAAATAGAGACTTGGTGCTTTCATATCCTATTAAAAAATTCCTCCTCAAAGTCCAGGTCTAGGAGAACTGGCTTTATGAAATTGCAATGTTCTTGAATTTTTAGGTAAACAGGTAAAATTGAGTACTTTCAGTGAAGAAAAATAATATGAGCGCACCCTCTGATCTAAAAAATAAAATATGTCCATGAATCCTCAGAAACAGTTCTATTATTTACTAGTCGCATATTTTAGATCAGAGGTTGCGCTCTATATCAAATATCAAAAAATAACTTTAAAAATGACCGTTTTTGTAGACTTTTTCGAAATATGTGGAAATTGACGCATTTCGTGACGTCATAATTAGGGATGTCAATTTTACTCGGTCAGCTTAGTCGAATAGTCGGATGCTTTAGTCGAACGATAGTCGAATATTCGTTTAATTTGAATTATTTTTTCATATCATATCTTTTACCATAGACCTAAATCGAACTTTGCTTTAGGTCTTTGATTTTACAGACTAGTTTACAATATTTAACCTACGCTTTCACCATTATACAACGAATTTCTGAACTGTAAACATGTACGTAGTACAATTAAAACTGTACATCAATATGTATCCAATGTATTTAATTTCAAAATTAATATATTAGCTATTTATTTATCGAAATGTAGGATATCAAAAGCTTGATTTGTCCTTTCTTTACATAACGGTAGTATATGTACCCCATAATTGAAGCCAATTTCTACGCTTTGACAGGTTTAAACAATTAAAGTGTGTCTCTTATAAAAACAAAGAGAGAGAGAGATAGCTTGGGATAAATTTTAATTATGAAATTTTGTGCAAACAATCAATGATTGCATAAATTAATATCAGAAATAGAAAACACGGTTTAATTACTCTCATAACTGACCCAATTTACATGTATTTTGAAGATATGTTTTCCGAAAATACATCGACGTACATATAATTCCTTTGAACAGTTATACCCTACCCTTAATTTTTACATATGAAAATATTGATCTGTAAATAAATGAAATGGGCAAATATAAGTTTATTGCCTTGAATTCAATATTACTTTGATGAAACACATTTTTAACGAATAACCGACTAAAGAAATTTTAGTCGATAGTCGGTATGATCGAACGATAGTCGAGTACTCGAATATTCGTTGACATCCCTAGTCATAATGCATTGACTAGCCAGAAAATGACGTCATTTTTTATATGATCGCAGTCACCAAAGATCTAAGTGATATTTTAATTCATTTTTAACTAAAACTATGCAGTTTATGTTTTTCACAAATTCACAGGGCCAAATAAGGCAAAAGTGAACCTTGTTCTTTATACACAGGATGTCCATGAGTATTATTTGTACAGCTTGTTTGGCGTACATTCGATCGTAAAATTATTAGATATCGACTAGATATAGAAATAGAAAATATCATTAAAAATAAATGATTATTGAAAAATTCCATGATTTTAGATCTTTCCTAATATTAAACAACAAATCTCACCGGCCGAATTTTGTAAAAATCTACGTCACAGCAGCAATGAGTTGAGTTCATTGTACAAAAAGTAATAATGATGAAATACAGGTACAATTTCAAAAGGAAAATATTCCTCCTTGTCTGTCTCTTTCAAAATTTTACAATCTATCAAAGTTTTCGTAAATATAGCAGAGCTTCGATAACGACCAAAAGAAAGAGTTACTTCTCGTTTGCACAAAAAGTCGCATGGTCCTATTTTCAGCAAATGTGTTTTATTGTGAAAATTCGCGTGACCGACGGGTTCGTAAAGTGAAGGATATGGAGATAACGAACAGTATTTAATATCAAAGTCCATAGAACGATACAAAATGGGAGCAGGGCAAACACGGACCTCTAAAACATCAGAAGTGGGATCATATGCCATGGAGGAGTGAGCATCTCATGCTGACCGGTCATATTTGCCGTGTACTCCCTGTCATAATCGGGAAATAACGGGAAAATCCGTCATCAATTTAGTTCAATAAAGTTAAAATTATAGATATATGTGTGCATGAAAGTAAATTTAGATAGTAATAATAGAACAACTTAAAATGAAATATTAATTTATTTTTGACATATACCGGTATATCCATGTATTTCTTCCAAAACTATTTGAACACCTGGAAAGGAGGTAACAACCCTGAACCCACATAGCAAGAAATGCTAGGTTATAAAAAGAAAGAAAGAAATCATTAAAGGTGCATGGACATAGATTTGAATTTCATATTTTCTGTGTAATATTACGACTTATATATTTTAAAAGCATTTCACACAAAAATATATCAAAAATCTTTTTCATCTTAAAGTTATTAAAACTTCAAATTTTTAGACGGGTTTGATTGACACATACTTGCACTTTCACAAATTTTAATTGTATTCTTAATACTTAGGAAAAGTGGCAATCTTGTTGTGTATAGATGAAAAATATAAAAACTTTAATCAAGAAAATGCAGAGTAGAAATGTATGAAAGCAAAACATATACACAGTATATTGTCAGTCCGTGCAGTTGTAGTGAGCAGACTTTTACAATTGAACGCTCCCGGTGAATCGTAAACATCAACAATAACAGAGTCCGTGCCCTGTTTACAAAAACTGTGTACGTTTCACGGATGTGATCAATTTGCTGAATTCTGTACACAACACTTAGCGCTGAATGCTTGTGAGGGGGGTTTCCTTTCTAACATTTCTACTCTGAATATTTTTATTTTTCTGGATTAAAGTTTTAATATTTTTCATTAATACACAGCAAGATTGCCACTTTTCCTGAGAATTAAGAATAAAAGTAAAATTCGTGAGAGTGCAAGGATGTGTCAATCAAACCCATCCTAAAATTTGATGTTTCAATAACTTAAAGATGAAATAATTTTTTTAATATATTTTGTGTGAAATGCTATTTAAATAAATGAGTCGTGATATTATGCAGAAAATATTAACTTCAAATCTGTGTCCATGCACGTTTAATACTTGTCCAGGTGATGAATACTAATAAGATAGTTTGCTTTCATAGATACCACAGAGTCTGACACATCTGTTTAATATTTTCATATTTGGATATTTTACTTGAAAAAGACGTTAATGGTAATCTAAAAAACTAAGCTCTGTGATTAATGTGATGACTTTAACTTTTCTATCGACAACTTTCCTTACTTATGCAGCATTCAACACCTGCAAACGGAGTTTATATATCTTAGTTTATTCGATATGCAAGAGCGTGCTCAACGTATGAACAATTTCTAAAACGAGGTAAATTATTGACAAACAGGTTGATGAAACAAGAATATCATCAATTTCGTTTAAAGTCTGTGTTTGCTCTGTTTCTATTTTGTAGTGTTTTATGAACTTTGATATTGAATACTGTTCGTTATCTCCATACCCTTTATCTTCAAATCAATTGTACTTATCTTCAAATCAATTACAGACAAAACTAACTGGGTTGAATGCATAGTTATGTTAATGTAGGATTTTGAATTCTTATTTTTCTTTCAATTTGTCAATATAAAGCAAATATTTTACCTGGAACACATCTTCCATTTTCACAACGCTCTGAAGGATAAATAGGACAATCTAGATCCTGAAAAGTTAAATCTTATTCAGTTAAAAAAAAATTAAGAATAACATTGTCTGCAATTGTCAGTTTGAAGGTAAAAAGAAATTCATTGATCAGGAGAAATATAAATGACAAAGTAATAGCATTTGTTTTCAGGAATGGTGTGTCAACATGTAAAAACAACATCAAAAAGGCAAATAATCAAATAAGTTATATTATAAGCCTTGCATGTTTTTTTGTTAAATTAACTGTTTTAATAAATGTTTTAAAATTCAGTGGTATCAGTATCTAAATTTTTATTTCTTAACAACCCTTTACCCAAAAATTATTATAAAAATTAATTTACAATACTCGTCTCTACTGACTAACTTGATTGCAGATTTACTTAAATAAACAGTTATGGAGTTGCTTTTTATGCAGATGAGAACAAGCAATTTTAAAGAATTACTCTAGTATGCCATCCACCCCTTTCGGTGTCTTAGTTGATGGGATGCCTTTACTTTTAGCATATTGTGTCAAATATGAATAACTAATTATCTGCGAAATTCAAAAGAAATCACCAAAATAATTTTTTTTTGAAATTAGATCAAACATGAAGTCAAGATCATGACGTCAAAAATGATAACATGCTCGGAAACATCATGTCACAGGTAATGTACACGTCAAATAAGAAAGCCCTATCTCTTCTGCATCAAAAGTTAAAGGTCACGGGGTCAAAAAACATGGTATATTTAGAAATACCTTTTCATGGGTTATGTAAATGCCTAATATACATGTTTAAAATGAAAGCCCTATCTTTTGTCTTTCAAAATGTCAGACCAATGTAGTTATTTTAAATTTTTTAAAATATAGATCAATCTATAGGTAATGTACATGCGCAGTATTAAAACCATATCTCTTTTCATTTATAAGTTTTAACAGCTAAGAAAAGGCCTATAGGTCTCAAAACACTTACCTTTAAAAGTAATTTAGCTGTAGACATATATTTAAGGGGGCTAGGGGGTTGTGGACATTTTTAGACTACATAGTATATTGATCTCCTTCTATAGAAAAAGATCTTCATGTGAAGATATATAAAGATGACCAAATTTCAAAACTAATATAAAATGTATGAAATTTTTCTTTGGTAAATGAGAGTTTACAGCTTAAGATATCATGTCTACAAATGAGGTTATATCTGATGGCTAATTTGTTTGAACCCCCCCCCTATCTCCTTAAAGACATTTGTAGAATTTTTGGTATAATTTTTATGACATTATTTGTGTTAAATTTACTGTAGTTTTCCTAGTTTGACCGATCGTGACAAAGCGCATGGCGATTGGCGAATCTATCTGGTCGACAGAGCATGCTTACTTTAGATATACATGACAACTGATCTTACCTTTTGTTTAGAGTTCTATATTTGCTCTACACTCATCATATACTGTTTCAATGCAATTTTGTGTTTACCTCAAATCAAGAAAGGAAAAGATGAAACTTAATAAAGCACAAATGTTTTGTACAAGTGTGTTTCTTTCATGGTATACATGCAATGGTAGGATTATTTCCCTTTTCTCATCAATACCTCTCTTTAACGACATGCTATAGCAAGTAATGCAAAGTAAAAAAACTTTTACAGAATGGACTGTCTGACTTCGTATTCATTTTAGTACACAACACAATATCTGACGTAAATAGATTTTTCATGATTCCTGTGCCTCCATGGTACCAAAGGTTAAGCAAAGCTGATATATAAGAATTGATTATGCTATTGCGTATCACCTTACCGTGTAGCACATATCTAAAATTTTAAAAAAAAGATAAAAGAATATTAGATAAATACCTGGAATGATCATTTTAAATCAACTCTAGCTTCCTTGGTCTAAATGTAAGTCGTCCTTAGTACAGTGGTTAGAGCGTTTGCTTTAAAAGCCAGGAGTAAGGAGGTGATCCTTACTTGTAACAGTCTGTAATAGTTCTAGCAGATAAAAGTGGGGGGAGGTAAGGCTTCTTTATTTTTTGCAGTATTTTAAAAAAACTTTGTTTTACGTACCACGCTGACATATTCCTTGTTCACAACGTTGTCCTAAAGGACAGTCTTGCTGCACAAACTACAAATGTATGAAAAATAACGAAATATTAACTAAACGAACTAAAGATATAATTGATCTCCATTGATATCTTGTATATGCAAGAGTAATTAAATTACTTTGCCTGTATATTTGAGTTTCTAGATGGTACATCTTTTAAAAGATATTCAAAAAATGTCAAAAATAAAAACCATTTGATAAAACTTTTTTAAATGCTTTTTAAAGGAGGTAGTCTATAATAAATATGTATTAGCAAAGGATTGCAAAATTTAAAAAAGTTATGCTTCTAAAACATCGAGAATTCTTCTGTCTATTTTTGTTTCAAATGGGACAAAATATTGTAAACGGAATAGAATAAGTTCGACAGAGGGAAACAGGTAGTGTTACTAGGAAAACTCAGTATTGTTTCTACAAGCAGTTATTAAAGCATGATTTGTTCCCTAAATAACTACTAGCTTCCTAGGCTTAAATCAACATTTTGTCCAAACTAATTTCCTCATCTTTTTCAGTTATTGTACCATAAAGTACAAAGTTGACAGTGATATACTCAATGTATCAAAAATATTATCAGAAATAAAAATCCCAATTAAATACATTTCCTAAATGGGATTTTTATTCTCAAAAAAAAAAAGTTAAAGGAGAGTAATAAGAAGTAAATAAAAATTAATCGGATGTGAACCATGTTGACTGCATGTTTCACAAGATAATAATAAAAATGGTTGTTACTTACTGGATAGCACAACTGTGAACCTAACCTCTGTGAACTAACGCTGGATACAAGGGATAACAGAAGGATAAGATTTATCATCTTCTCTCCCGAGTACTGACAAGCGAAGATCTGACGAATCTGATGGGGATTATTTTCTATAAAACTGTAAAAATGTCTGTTTAGACCACAAAAAGTATGCATAAAGTAAAACAAATAATTATGTTCTTCTTTACTTCTGAATTCCATTTCAAATTGGTACAAATCTGTTCACTGAAGTAATACATAACTTGTTAGTTATCATGGAGAAAGTAAATTATTTGAGGAAGGTTGAAGACGATGGTATAATTGTATTTATGTGCAGCATAAATTAATTTATACCATCTCTGTTAGTGTATTGTTATAAGAGAATTTTTCCGGAATTTTCAATGCCGCAATGAATTCTTGCTACTATATTATATTTGTAACTTGATCTTGTTTATCCAGACCATGCTTTCTGATGGAAATAATTTTTGACCCACCACCTCCCCTGCAACCACTCAATATATACTCAATTGTATTTGATTAAATAATGTACACTTACAGTGGAGTTATTGTATCGTATAAATTGTTTTTTCAATTGATATGTGTTAATAATGTCAAAATAATATATCATAACAATTATTTTGTTATGTATATATAGTACACATATATTTACATTAAAGTTGTTCTCTGATCTGACATGTTAACAATGTAACAATATTGTATACTTATTTTTTCGTATGTTTCACATCCTTTTTAGAATTTGGCGTGTTTGTTCTCCCATCTTTTTTGCAAATTCTTCTAGTCATATTGGTATTTTTTACTTATGTATATTAATATCCTTATAAAGGATATATTCAAATATGGTCATAAGTAACTTTTGTACATATTTGGTTAATTTGTTTGGCATTACAATAAATGCTCATTTACAACAAACAATTTGTTTTGATATTTGCAAAAAACAGAGCAGAGTAGACTCATTCATGGAGAAAGTAAATTATTTGAAGAAGGTTGAAGACGATGGTATAAGCCCCTGTACTGCAAAACTGGAGGCATATTATATTTTTTGGTCCGTGTGTTTGTGTGGAAATTGACCTACTTTTGTAAAAAAGTACCTTTGGTCATAACTTTTGAATAGTGCTGGGGCTTTCATATAAGCTTTCATACAGAGTGATCACTGTTTCACAAATACATCTTGATTTTTGCAGCATTTTTTCTGGGCAGTTAAGTCCACCCATTCTTTTAGGAAATACTTGAAATGTCAATTCTGGTTTAGAAATACTGATATACTGGTATTTTCTGTTTTCAGTCATACTTATATTTACTGAATTTTTCAATTTATTTGACACGTATTGAAAATTTATGAGATAATTTTTAAGAAGTACGTTTTAAAAAATATGAACACATGCTTGAAACTTAATCCAGATAAATTAAGTAGAGTTCAAAACCTTGTAGAACATATAATATTCATAAATTGATTCATTTTTCGTGAGTGATGATAGGCTTTTCCTCGAGAAGTTCTTTCCTTGGTATCAATATTATTTTCCGGGCAAATATCGATTTCCAAAAACGAAAATACTATGATTCAAAATTTTACATACTACTTTATTAAATGAATGCTTAAGACTCCTTTTTCAAACATTGCTTAGCTTTAAAAGACCGATATTTGTTCTGAACATTAACAAGTGCTGATTTTAAAAGTCGTATTGATAAAAAATAAAACATATAGAGATAACGAACAGTATTCAAGCTCAAAAGTCCTTTGAACAATACAAATTTGGAGCAGAGCAAAAAAGGACCTCCAAAACATCAGAGGTGGGATCAGATGGGATCAGTTGGGATCAGATGCCATGGAGGAGAGAGCATCCCCTGCCGACCGGTCACAGCCGTGTGCTCCAGTTATCGAGAAATAACAGAAAATTCCTTCGACAGTTCAGTGTGTAAATAATGGCCTAGCAAGTAGTATGAAAAACGTCAGTGAGCATTTGACTTATTGATGGATAGAATTTAAGAAATACAGTCCGCGTTTTCGTGAATATTGATAACCTCCGAGGTCGAGAAATGTTTGAAAGATAAAAGCCGAGGCGTTATATTTCAAACAACATTTCGAGACCGAGGAGGTTATCCTACATCATTCACGACAATAAGGACTATTTCTATTTCTTCTTGAGTTCTTCTTATTTCTATTCTTCTTGAGTTCTATATAATAAGGCTGACCCTATAGAGAAACGATCACGCTGTTCCATTTAACACCAGTTTACCTACGTAAGGAAGGCAGATAATTTGAGCTTTCGCTGCATTAAAAAGAACTTTTTATTATTGTGTTATGAATTTATTATTTTTTTTAATGTACAATGACAAAAGCAGTTTTCTATTTTATTGCTTTATCACTAAAATCAAGGAGTTCAAATATGGTGAAAGGAGGTCCATGGAACAGCCCCGCTTAGCAATAAAAACCTACATTCATTAGCTAATTTTTAAGTATGCATTTATGCAGTGTTTAGACGTTGAAAGACGACAAGTCGATGTGGTCTTAACAAGTATTCATTCTATAATCAAATATTCATCACAATTGAACAGGTTTGATACGTGTTTCTGATGACGTTCGCGATTTATTGAAGAATAATTTCCGATTTATTTCTTTGATCTCGGCAATAATCATAGTAGGTAGAATTACAGATAAGGTCATAGTATTGACTATAAAACATACTAAATGGTGATTTTAAACGAGACTTCACTCGGGAATATTTTAAAACATACTGTCTTATAGTCATTCTGTTTTTTTTCTGTTTTTTCGGTAAAAAAGCGTTTAATCTAAAATTTTCAATATACACATGTATTTCCTAGTCAATTCAGGATAAACACGTATATGGAGTTCCGTAAACATCCTGTAAATTAATTTATTTACAGAATGGTTGAGGAAAGCCATGTTATTCCTGATTTCACATATTAAGTGTAACATATCAAAGAACTGAAATGGAAATTTATACACATGCTTCCTCAATCGTCAGGATTTTCGAA